GGGGGCAGTGGTTCGGGAGAAATATGAAAAGGTAACCAAAGTCTCGGGTTTATCTTGACAAAAGAAAAAGGAATAGTTTTATGCTTCAAGACGATCGGAATCGAAATGGCTGAGTTATGTTCAAATGTTCAAAAAAGTGTTTAATCACTTTGGCCTCTAGCGGCCAAACGGTTAGTCGGAGGTCAATTCTGACAGCAGTTTTCGCCCCTCCCCCTAGGAATTGCGGTACGTATCTAGCGGGGGCGAACACAACGCATCCTCCGAACGTTCAATTTGGACCAATTTGGCTAGAGCAATCCGCCCATCGTTATTCGAGGGCTTATAATTCTCCATTTCGACTCTGATCGGCTCTTTTAAGAGCCAAAAGCAGCCTCGCGCAGCTGCAACTGTCATCGAGTACCTCGCGCGGTTACGAACGACGCGCAGCTGTAAACCTCGCACAGTTACAATCCACGCGCAGTTGCAACACAATGCTCCGCGGGCAATTGCAGTCCTTGCGCAGTAGGAAACCTCGCGCAGCTGCAAGTCTCGCGCAGCTTCAAACCTGGAGCAGTTACCGACCTCGCGCAGTTGCCAACGTCTCGTTTTTATCCCGCCCTTCTGCTTTTAAAACAAGCAGGCCCGCCCTTCCGCCAAACGAAGTTGCCAGCTTCGCTTCGCTGCGCCGGCAACTCCGTTCGGCAGGGGCCGGGCCTGCTCGGCCTGCCGGCGGCGATGGTCGGGCCTGCGGCCCGACCATTTCTGTCACGCGATTTGCTGTAGAACATAATCAAATGATTTAACGGGCCTTCGGCCCGCAAAGCCCGTCGTCCTCTTAAAATTTGCCCTGTAGACACGAGAAAGGGATGTAACGGTGAAACACCGCGACTACAACCCACCCTTCTGCTGAGGAAACGTTTTTTGGGGTGGGGGAGGGAGTTTCTTACCTCTTTTGCGGTTTTGGGCCTTCTTTTACATTTAATTGTTCACTAGAGCAATTTTTAACTTATTTTCGTCAAACAAGACACTCTAGCGCCTAAACGGTTAGAGATAGAGCCAAACGGACGAAATTTTCGGTCGCAGGACTCTACTTTGACAAGTTACCCCCTAGGAGACCATTTAATATTTACGGAAAGAAATAAATTTATTTTTGGGCCACTTTTGTGAGAGAAACTCTCTCTAGCGCCCAAACGGTAAAAGATAGATCAAAACGGACAAAATTTTCGCCCGTAGGGCTCTATTTTGACGAGTTACCCCTTAGGAGCTCATAAAAAAAATATTTTTTTCTGACTTATTTATCCTACCCCCTTTTCTTTTATACCCCCTTTCAGCCCCTTAGGGTTGGTTGCCAGGATTTGCCGTAGGCGTTTCGTTTTCTAGGAGTGAACCTTAAGATACCCTGAAAATTTGAAGTCTCTAGCACATCTCCTTCTAGTGGAACAGACAGACAGACAGACACACAGACACGAGGTCGTTTGCATAAGCCCGCTGGATAGCCTTTTCAAAGCAGAAGGGCGGGCTAAAAACATTAAAGCAGGGTTATGCAACCGCTCTCGTGTCCGTCTGTCTGTGGTGCGTGTAAGAAGAAGGAGATGATCTCGAGGTCTACAAATTTTGGGGTGCCTAAGGGGTCACTCCTGGACAACGAAACGCCTGGTGCAAATCCTGGCAACCACACCTAAGGGGGAGAAAGGGGGTAACAAAGAAATAGGGGTTGGTAGCAAAAAGTAGGAAACAAATTTTTTTGTCATGGTCTCGGAAGGGGTAACTCGTGAAAGTAAAACCCTTCGCACAATTTTTTTTTCCGTTTGACTCTATCTTGCACCGTTTAGGCACTAGATCGTTTACCGACGAAAATACGGTGAAAATGACCACGTTGCACATAAATACGTACAAGGAGTAGCCCGTATCAAAAAGAGCGTCGACGGCCGGGATTTCAGAGGTTGCACTCTCTAAAAATCCTATGAACCTCGGAGCTGCCCTGTTCAAAATCTGAGCGCCACCAGACAACGCTTTCCCAACCCGGATCGCATTTGAAGTTGGCAAATCGGAGTGGCCGTAGGCCCCTCCGCCGGAAGCCTTAGTTTACTCCAATGTGCAAAGTGACTTACAGGTCGGGCCGCAGGACCGACCAAACACCGTCGGCACGCAAAGCGAGGCCCGGCCCCTGCCGAATGGAGTTGCGTGCGGAGCGAAGTGTCCGTAAAGAAATTTATAACGAGGATAGTAACCGAGGCATAGCCAAATTTTCCGTACCTGAGCCGGTGAGTATATACGTTCCTGACACAGTACGACGGGTTTCAGCGGACCTGAGGCTCGCTCCATTATTTGATTATGTTCTTCAGCAAATGGCGGGACTAAAATGGTCGGGCCGGAGGCCCGACCATCGCCACTGGCAGGCAAAGCAGGCCCAGCCCCTGCCGAACGGAGCTGCCGGCACAGCGAAGCGAAGCTGGCAACTGCTTCTTTGTACACCTGACAACTTATTTAATGCTCTGTATCTTGCCTTGTATCTTTGACAGATCGTTGTCAATATTAACCGTTGTGCGGGAGGCGTGGCTTCTAACCTGTGCGAGTACTATACACGCTGGACGTGGTCCACCGCCATATGTAGTCTGCTTGTCACGAAGAACATGATTTGGACGCCATGGGTTGAGTGCATTAAGCCTACCTTTAAGTGTCCAGTACCTGCTGTAAGTAATGCTCTCTAAGGAATCACTGGTGGCAATGTGACACTTGTCTCTTTAAAAATCGGATTAGTCGATGTGCGCTCTTACTATAATTTTGTATTTGTGTACAACCAATCGTTTAACCATGAAAAAGGATAATACAGTAGGTTCTCTAGTGCCCTAAACCTCCGCACGGCTAGCTGGCGAAGGCAACTCCTCACTGTATTTTTAACCAATCGACAATCGGACGGTCACTTCAGTCCCTCAAAGGTCCAATGCAAATCATCATCACTTCAAACTGTTACCCTGATATCAATACGATGTCTAATGATACCTGTTTGTACCGCGACCGAGGGGTGGATAACTCCCCTGCCCTGCCAAGTGTACATCCCTAATTCTGCCCAATTCAAACTAATTCAGACCAATATTCAAATTAATTCAAACGAATCCAAAAAAATTCAACGAAACTAGTCCAATTCAAGACAATTTACATTCAATTCATGTCAATTCAATTAAATTCACGCTAATTCAGTAAAATAAAATCGCAATAATTCAAACCAATTCAAGAGCAATTTCACCAATTCAGTCCAATTCAAATTCAATGCAAGTCAATTCAAGCGACTTCAAATTCAATACTTGAAATTTGTACACCCAATACAGATGTTATCCACCCCTCGACCGCGACCGTTGAATCCGCGATCAGCGCCACGTCCTGAGCCAACGCCTGCCGACTAGGGTGTAGCGTACTCGGTCGACTTTTGAATTTTAAATACGGGCCCCCCTTACTTCAAACCATTTTCGATGTAGTTTCCGGAACCAACCTTGTTTTTTTGCTGAGACAAAGACTTCAGGTTCTTACCTCGCCTAAAAGTTGAGAAATTTCACTATTTTGGACTAAAATCGAATAATTCGGGTAAAAAATATTTCAAAGCAGTACAGAGACGCCTCATGGGAATCATATGTTTATTATGCATCTAAAAAGTGTTTGCTACCTGTGACCGGCTATGGGAGGACCGTTTAAGGCCGTTTTTACGTCGACATTTGTATTAAATTACTCAAAAAACACTCCAAATCGTTATTTAATCCGGCTCTGGGGCCAGGATACGGGTCCTGGGCCGACCGGGGGTGGTCTTACGGATTGTCTGTAACCGCCAGAAGGTAAAAAAGGGTGGGCGAATTTTTACGACAGCCGTAGGCTGTGGGAGGGGAGTAGATATGGCAGAAACCGGGGAGGAATTGCGGGAAACGGACGAGGCGCCTAGTGTGCATGGCAAGGCATTGTCATTTGGGAAAGGGTTAAGTTGCGCAGGTCTTAGCTTGACATAGCCCAGTGCTTTGCTAACCCGGATCTCAACACGAGGAGGTGCCTGCACGTCTAGCCCCGCCAACCAAACCACTCGGGCATAGTTTTAACGTTTTAAGCTGAACGTTGGTGAGGTACTTTAAACTGCCCCTTGGTGTTAAATTTGCGTATTGCACAGCGATGTCTCCGACGAGGACCTGCGCGCAGCCATCTCGTCGCAGCACCGTCTCAGAATTCCTGTCCTTCCCTGCCGCATACAGGCGAGGCGGTCGAGCGATTGGTTGTCACTTCGGCCACAATGGTAGGAGTAGAGCAGAGAGAACGGCAGATACGCGCTGCCTTTAGAGGCCGGGCAGCAATGCCAAAGTTTAAAGCCAAGGGGCAGTTCCTTACCAACGTTCAGCTTAAAACGTAAAAACCATGCCCAGGTGGGTAGGTTGGTGGGGCTCGAAGTGCATGCACCTCCTCGTGGTGAGCCCTGGGTTAGCAGAGCACTAGGCTATGTCAGGCTAAGACCTGCGCAACTTAACCGTTTCCCAAATGAAGATGCATTGCCATGCACACACGGCGCCTCATCCATTTCCTAAATTTCGCCCCGGTTCCTGCCCTATCTTCTCCCCTCCCACAGCCTACGGCTATCGGAAAATTCGCCCACCCCTGTTTTACCTTCTGGTGGTTATGGACAATCCGTAACACCACCCCCGGACTGCCCAGGACCCGTATCCTGGCCTCAGAGCCGGAATAAATAACGATTTGGAGCGTTTTTTGAGTAATTTTATACAAATGTCGCCGTAAAAACGGCCTAAAATGGTTCTCCCATGTCCGGTCACAGGTGGCAAACTCTTTTTAGATGTATAAGAAACATATGCCACTCATGAAGCGTCTCTGTACTGCTTTGAAATATTTTTAACCCGAATTATTCGATTTTAGTGCAAAATAGTGAAATTTCTCGACTTTGAGGCTAGGTAGGAACCTGAAGTCTTTGTCTCAGCGAAAAAACAGGGTCGGTTAAGGAAACTACATCGAAAATGGCTTGAAGTGAGGGGGGCCCGTTTTTAAAATTCAAAAGTCGACCGAGTACGCTACACCAGGGGTATGCAACGGCCGGGTGAGCGGTTGAGGCGATGCTCGGTCCGGCCCGGCGGCCCGCCCGAGCGCGCGGGACCCGCGCGGCTGACTTCAGATTGTGATTTCTCCGATTTTTCGTGGTTAACAATACAAACCAATGCATCCAGTACACCCTATAGGCTTTCCTCTTTCTATCGTTTCCTGAATTTTATCCCGGTAAGTCGTCATTATGTAGTATTTGCAAAAGAGCGGTTTGAGGTTAGGTCTGCGCCACTGCACGACTGACTTTGTCAAGTTAATGTGGGAGAACCACTCCACTTACCGAAGAAACTCGCATACGTATTGGAAGGCCTCACTTTAACGAAGGTCCACTGTAAGTTTCGAATTGATCTGAAATTTTGATCACTCACACGGACAATTTCTTTAACTACGCAGCGGCCTGAGTTCGGCCCGCTCGCCGGCCCACCGGCTGCTCGGCTGACTTTGTCAAGTTAATGAAGGAGAACCACTTCACCTACCGGGAAAACACGCATACCTATCGAAAGGTCTTACTTTAACGAAGGTCCATTGTAAGTTTCAACTCGATCTGAAATCTTGATAACTCACACGGACGATTTCTTTAACTACGCAACTGTGCAACAACCTCTCTTTTGAAAATACGAAATAATGACGACTCGCCGGGAAGAAATAAGAGTACTGATAGGAAGAGGAGAGCCTTTAGGGTGTACTGGGTGCATTGGTTTGTATTGTTAGTAAAAATAGGAAAAATCACAATCTGAAGCCAGCCGTGCAGGTCCCGCGCGCTCGGGCGGCCCGCCGGGCCGGGCCGAGCATCGCCTCAGCCGCTCACCCGGCCGTTGCATACCCCTGGCTACACCCTACGCCGGCCACCGCGTAACGGCTTCGCCGAGTTCTTCCGCTAGGGGGGGCACGTTGCCGCCGTATGCTCTCCGCACCCTCTAGTTTCGGGATCGAGTGTTTTGCTTTGTTTCGACCTGCGTGTCTGAGGAAGCGCGATACTGCTTTATGAGTGGTTCTAAAAAAACTTTCCAATTCGCGTCCCTGGCTGTTTTGTCACTTATGCACTGGCGCTATCCACGCCAAAAAGACGTAAAAATTTCGACCTGCGTTTTATTCGCGAAATATGTAGCCCTTGAGTAGCTGCACCAGGTGCTACAATCCGTTTTGTGATATCTCAAACGGTGTCGCGTCAGGAGCGTTGAGAACAAGGCCCTCCGCCCCACCACCAAGTGACCCTCGGGACGCCTTTCCGCCCGCGGCGCCGCGCGCGCCCGCCCTCCGGAAAAGCGACCTGTGTAGCGTCATAGTACAAGGTGAGGTCTTTCCATCGCCGCTGCCCAATTTCATATATGTCAAATAATACAAGAGATAAAACGACATTTAGGTGACGCGGGACCCGCTATTTATCTTCTTTATTTGCTTCAAACGCTAAAGGGTGCCCAAAAAAATCTCGACGGTTCCACATCCGTGACCACATTGCCAACGCACACACAAAAATTTAAGTTGGGATCTCGATGGGATGACATAGAAAATTCACGAAAACTGTTTCGGTGCTCAGCAGCCTGTTTGAATCCGCGCGCCCATCAGCCGGCAGCCAATGGCGAGCCGAGCCTGGCAACACAAGAGGCCTCAATTAGTTTTCGTGAATTTTCTATGTCATCCCATCGAGATTCTAACTTAAATTTTTGAGTGTGCGTACGTAATGTGCTCACGGATGTCGGACCGTCGAGATTTTTTTGGGCACTCTTTAGCGTTTGAAGCAAATAAAGAAGATAAATAACGGGTCCTGCGCCTCCTAAAAGCGGGGCTTGGTGTTTCGCTGGCAGGACACCTAATTCTGAAGACTCTGGTTGCTACTTGTTTGCCAGGCTGACTGTCACCCCACTCCCGCTTAAAGTGCGCCGCAGGCGCTCCATGCCCTGGGTAGGATGTTACCCCATGCCACCCCAGGTGCGCCGCAGGCGCCCCGTACCACGGCTAGGCTCTTACTACTCCCCCCCCCCCCCCCCTAGGGGCGCCGAAGGGGTACTACGCCCCGGCTAGGCTCTTACCCTATTCCCCCAAAGGGGCGCCCTAGGCGCCCCATGCCCCGGCTATGCTCTTACCCCCGTGCACCTGGGTAGGCTCTTACCCCGTGCCCCCACTAGGGGCAGGCGCACCATGCTCCAGGCTGACTCTCAACCCACTGTCCCCTCCCCACTGGTTGCGTCATGGTCATCCCCAACTGAGATAGAAAGATTGCTGTCATCGGAGGAGCTTCTTTTCATATGCAGGTATCTGTCGCTGGTTCGGTACCCGCTAGAAACACGTTGCAGGAAGGCAGTCTGCGAGGGCCGCTGCGGGGGTCTTCAGTTCGACCCCGAATTTAAACCCATACCCCAGATTTAACCTGATTGGGGCGCCGCAGGCAGGCACCCCATGCCCGATCCCGATTAAAGCAATCCGGTAAAGCTAAAATGCAGAAGAATGAGGGGAAAAAGAAAACGGAACCGCTTGGGGCGCCACAGGCGCCCCGCAGCCGTCCCCGAATTTAACATGATTGGGGTGCCGCAGGCGCCCCCTGCCCGAGCCCGAGCTTTACCCTCTTTGGGCACCACAGGAGCCCATTCGGAGCACCACAGGCGCCCCAACGAGCTCTCCCCGAGTGCCTCCATCTGCGCTATCTTGAAAAACAAATTTAATGTTTGATTTACTTAAAAGATCTTGTAGTTGTGACTTAAGGTCCAAAGTCAAAAAATTATTACCATTATTAAGGGAAGTTGGAATGCTTGACCAAGTACGTTCTTCATTATCACACATTACTGTTTCATCAGGGAAGTTTTTCCTTGACCCAGATAATTTTTGCATAGCGCGCAACAGTAGTTGCTGCCTGCCCTCTGTTTCAAACTGAAACAGCTTGTGATACAGGTGCTTCGGCATTCCTAAGCAATCAGGCACTCCGATAACCTGCTCCACAGATTTAAATAAATGACTTGCCAAAATGTCAGTCATTGTCTGTCTCATGCTAACAAGGGAAGGTTTTCCGGTGATACACTCAGATTTCAATGGCGCTTCATATTGTTGTTGTTTTCATCCCTAGATTAGGTTTTGCATTGGTTTTAGCTGCCCGTAGGGAGTTTGAAGGTCGTTTTACGCAAATTTAATTGAAAATTCTCCAAACTTTTTAGCCTGATTATCAACTTTACATGCACGTATCTCAAGAACCGTTTGAGCTACAGCGCCCAGATTTTGAGGGGAATCATAATTTAGCACGTTCTTTACTTGTAGAAAATTTGAACGAAATCGATTAGGGTCTCAAAAACGGGTCCGGAGAGGGGGTTGCGACCCTAGGCTCCTTATGGCGAACCCCATTGATTTGGTTCAAATATTTTTCATGGAAAGTACTAATTGAAGGATAATTACCTGCAAAATCTGGGCGCCGTAGCTCAAACGGTTTCGGAGATATGTGCATGCAAAGATGGCAAAAAACCGATGAATTTGGGAAATTTTTGATGAAATTCTTGTGAAATGACCCCCAAACTCCCTGCGGGCAGCTAAAACCAGTGCCAATCCTATTCTAGAGGTGCAAACAACTACTCTTTAAAGCGCCTTTGAAATCTGACTGTATCACCGGAAAACCTTCCCTTGTAAGGTGTAATACTATCAAAAGGATTTCAAACTTTTTAACTTTCTAAAGCGGATGCAAAAGATCATTCAACACAGAAGTTCCAGTTCCTTAAGAACTTATAATAGCAAGAGTGGTCATTAGTTGTATCGGACCTTTGAGGGACCACAGCGACCGTCCGATTGTCGATTGTTTGAAAGTCCAGTGTTGCCTTTGCCAGATAGCCGTGCAGGGGGTTGGGGCGCTAGGGAACCTACTATATTATACAAAGTTCAAAATGTCAGACAGTTCGAAAGAGAAAACGTTGAAGCCCCCAAATAGGGCATCTCGTATAGTTTAAACCAGATCGGAAGGAGAACAGTAATGCTACCATAACTGTTTCCTCCCTGGCGCTCCTTGGCTGGCGCGGAAGGGAGACGGACAACTCGCCTTAACCAAGTCGCCTTATCGGACAAGTCGCTCTCTTAAGGCTACCTCGCCCCGATCTGAGGGCTGGGGCGAGTTGCAGACTTGTGCCATCTCGCCCAAGTCAAATATTTTTGTCCAAATATTTTTCTATTTAAATATTGCTGGGCATTGTGGGTCGCCCCTCTCTTTCAACGCGCACCCAGAAAATGGCCCCGCCGAATTTGCGGTATCGTTGAATTAGGATCCAACTGTCTGAATTTTCCCGCCGTAACTCTTGTGCTTGTGGGTGCTACGGGGCATTTCTTGACGAAAGTAAGGTAAAAATGACCAAATGGTCTATTTAATCGCAAAAAAAGGCTTGAAATCGATAAATTGCACCGGAAGTAATACTTAACCCACACATCTGTCGTTGAACTACGCCCTCCTTTACGCGCAAGGATCTCTTGATATTTCACTAAAACGTTTATTTTTCATAAAAGTCCGTCAAAATGAGACTTTTTATGAATATATCGAATATCAGAAGTTTCATTTCAAATTCGGGGTCCGAGAGGCCCTTTTCCCGTATTCACTCCTGTTAACTTGTCTCGGGTGTCAGCGCCGCAGGCCTAGCTATGTGTGCGCTAGGCGCGTCGCAGCGTCACAGTGTTTCGTGAGATATCGCGAAGCCTGTTACGCGAGACGTGGTCTGGCGTACATATAGCTAGTTTAGGTGTACTCTTTCTTCAGTACGTCATTATGCATTCGTTCCTGGAATCAACTGATCATTGTAATCTCTTTTAATAAGATACGTCGATATTGCACCAATTGTTCATTGGATTTGAGACTCGCAGACTCCATGGGTCTGCGTTTCGTCGACAAGTACATCTGGGACACCGAAATCCAGCTGTGGAGCGAAAGGAATCAACTTGCCTTCTGTATGACTATGTATTTTGAGCCACAACGGGTTCCCACTCATAAAAGTGGAAGTAAAAGTTAAACGAGAGATGCAAGCCGTCACACGTATCGCATAACAGCCTTTGCGATACTGTAGGGTACTATGAAACGAGAACCAAATAATGTTGAAATATCGTAAACAATCAAATAAAGAATTTAGTTAAATTCGCAACAATAGGAGTTTTTAGAGTAGTTGACTACCGTGAAAGTGTCTAATTCCGGACCAGCAGGGTAAATCTGGACCGAGGGGTCCGCAAGTACGGTCTGCCGGTGTACACATGTGGTGGGCTTCCTGGTTTTCGTATTTTTTTGATTATTAGTAGTTAATACCCAATTTTCTCATTTAATATTGAAACATATTGTGCTGTTTTAATTTTGTTTTTGTTTTTTAAATGTGTTTTATTAGCGAGGACACGCTGGGACAGTCTAGAGCTGGAGTTAAGGGGGGACGTGGAAGGACAGGGAGGTTAAGGACACCTTGGGACAGGGGAGGGAGGGAACGAAGACATGCAGGGACAGTGTAGGACAGGAGTTCGGGGGGACGCGGAAGGACAGGCGGGCAGGGACTGCTTGGGACGACAGCGGAAGGAGGCAAAGACACACAGGGACATTCTAGGACAGGGTTTTGAGGGACGTGGACGGACAGGGCTGGTAGGGACACCTTGGGACGAGAGCGAAGGGAGCGGGGACGGTCTGGGACAGGACTTATTCCGAGGGACGCGAAAGGACAGGATGGGCAGGGCGTAGGGACAGCTTGGTACGAGAGAGAAAGATAGCGAGGACACGCTGGGACAGTCTAGGGCTGGACTAAAGGGGGGGACGTGGAAGGACAGGAAGATTAAGGACACCTTTGGACACGGGAGGGAGGGAGGGAACGGGGAAATGCAGGGACAGTGTAGGACAGGAGTTCGGGGGGACGCGGAAGGACAGGCGGGCAGGGACAGCTTGGGACGACAGCGGAAGGAAGC